TATGCTTCAAGTCTGGATGTAGTCAAGAGGAGGACTTGCTATTTTCAACTTATCAGAGACCTAGACTAATGGAGGCTTCAACTTGGTGAACAATCCTTGCATCATGATTGCATGTGGTAGGAGGCAGATACGGCAGTTTACATACTGATTTTTAAAGCTTTTACTTGTAATATGTGTGTAACTTCTATTCATGTTTAATTGGCCAAAGTGAATCATAAGGCTATACTTAAGTTCAAAAAGATTATGAAACTCTCTCTCTCTCTCATGCTGGGAATTGAACTCACTAACTCACACCTAGCAGGCAGGCACTCTGCTGCTGAGCTCTATCTCCTGCCCATGGGTAACCATCAGAAATCTTACATGACCTCCACCAAGGACTTATCAGATACTATTTCTATGCTGGGAATGGGAAACTAATAGACACTCTGTTTCCCCTAAAATGAGATCTAACTAGAAAACAATCAGCCTCGAAACCTAGAAATGAAAAATGCCGGCCCCAATCAGCATCCCCTTATGTTACATGCCACTGTTACTCTTTTGCTTGGTGTCTACTCTATAAGGCAAGTAAGACAAGGATAGAATGATTGGGACTGGCATTTGTTATCTCTAGGTTTCAAGGCTGATTACTTTCTGGCTAGATCTTATTTTTGGGGAAATATGGCATTAGGCTGGACATAAAGTGGTGTTTTGGGATAGTTTACATTTATAAATATATGTGACATTGATCTGTTCTCTTATAGATATACTGACCTAATGTTCATATCACTTTGTGGAGAGTGGGGGAAATTTACTTTTAATTAGAGGAGACACTGTATACACAAGGCCACCGTCAACTGGCAGCAAAGAAAGCCAGTATTGGAACCCAGGAGACTTGACTTGAATTCTTTTTCCCAAGTCCACACTGCACTGCTTCCTAGTATAACTGAGAGATTCAAATAGATCTATAAAAACTGAGATTTTTTTAAAAAAAAAGACAACTGTTTCTCCAAGCTTTCTTATGCTGGTAGTGAAATGTTCCAGTTCCCCAATCATGGTGCAAAGAAAAATTCAACATTTCCACCCCTCTGTTGAGTCAAAGCTTGACTAAATCTATATGTAGATATTTCCTGGTGTTCATTAGGATATGTCTATGTGCATGCTTCTAAAAGTGGCTTGCCACCTAAATGTTACCGGGTTCTGGACTGCTTGCCTCTTCCTCTGGAGCTAAGTTTTCAGGTTCTTCTCATTTTGAACAAAGAAATAAACTAATTTTCTTCCTCTTTCTTTTTCCCCATTTTCCTCTTCCTCTTCTTTATCCTTTTTTTCTTCTCCTTCTTCTTCCCTTTCTCCTTCTCCTTCTTCTTCCTCTCCTCCTCCTCCTTCTTAATGGATCCTTCATGTACCAAATGAGTGAGTGAAGGAACCCATATTAGGAGGGGGGCAGATTCAGGCCAAACACAGGCCTAACACAGCCAATGTCACTAGGTTGTTCAGAAAGGTTGAACCCAGGGCTCCAGAACTGGGAGAGGGGGCACATGCTAAAAAATGTGGCATAAAAGAAAGCAGAGATCAGATGATTAAACAGGAGGACACAGTTGTTTTCCTGAGGCCTCAAAACTCATTAAAAATATTAAAGCAGGGGAACAACTAGTACCAATTTGCATGTTAGGAAAACCACTGGCTAAATTTCAATTCCTTTTCTCTCCCTCACTATTCATCTGAATCCAAGGCCTTTATTAGCTTGGTTAATTTGAGCCACCTGCCCTTCAGCTGAAGGGTAGGAATGTGTAATTTCTATACAAAGGCAGCTGTTCTCATAAGCCCTTCTTAAACTGGCTTTAGAGGCAAGCCAATATCTATACGTATCAGTGTCTTCTGTTCCACTCATTGTGTCAGTGAAACAATGATTTTTTTTTCTTTTCTTTTCTTTTTTTCAATCGGTACCAGGGATCAAACTCACAACTGCGTGCTTGCAAGGCAGGCGCTTATGCGGCTGAGCTAAATCCCCAGCCCCAACAATGATTTTTTCTAATCGCATAAGCTGTTTCCTTCTGCCTGGAAAAGACTTTATTCTAGTTAATCTTTAACAATGAAATGAGTTTCTCTAATATTTTCAGATATATGCTGCACCAAGTTTAATGCCTCTATCACAAGTCCCCTACCCCATGCTACTGATAAACCTACCTTCAGTATTTGTGGGTCTCTGAGCCTAAGGGATGACAGGTTGTCCCCTATCGCAGCCCAACCAGAACCTGCCCCTTGCTTGAGGACAATTATTGTAATAGCCATATTTTTTATGGTCTGTGTTAGAATTAGAGTTGGGGGCTGACTGGGGCCTGGAGAACTATTTCCCCTGTTTCTGTCAGTGGCTTCCCTTGCTTTCTGGGCCAGTGAACTTGGCTTTGGATAACTGTTACGTGACTAATAAACATTACATGAATTACAATAATAAATGTAAGTTAGAATATGTGACTCATTTGTAGTCTGCTTACCTGGAATTCACATGAAATGTTACATCTTTAGACTTGTGCATTTTACATTTTTCCCTTGCAATTAATTACCCCTCTACCATGTTGCTCTCTCCTGTGGCCTTTCTAGGTTTTTTATGCAGAAGACAACAGGACCAACTTCCTATTTGTTTGCTTTCTGCTCTGTGATGAATAGATTGAGCTAGTTCCCATAATTCCATCTTCTGTACTCACACATCCTTGTGCAATCCTCTCCCCTTGAGTGTGAACAGGACCTGTAACTTGCCTCTGATAGAACAAGTTTTGAAAATGTCACCACTATGATTATGTGACACACAACTGCAGTGTTTCTCTTTCCAAGGAGACTACTTTGCTGGCTTTAATAATACAAGAGGCCATGTTGGAGTTGTCTTTTTACAAGAAACCAAAGGTGGCCTTTAGCTACCAGCCAGTAAGAAAAAGAGGCTCTCTGTCAACCAAGGCACAAAAAACTGGGTACTTATATCAACTACCTCTTGAATTTGGAAGAAGATTTGCCTCCAGTTGAATTTTGAGTTAAGATCACAGCCTTGGCTGACTCGCTTGAATACACCTTTCAAATAAGAACTGAACTGAGCACCCAGCAAAGCTGTGCTGACTCATGGCCCATAGAAACTGTAAGATGATTTGTTGTTTAAGGCTGTTAAATTTGTAGTAACAGTTACATAGCAATATATAATACATTTCCTTTGATTTCTGGTTGTAACACCTATTTGGTTCTAGAGACATCCTTAACTTCTCTGCCTCCCTTAAATCCACAAGACACCCCTCTCCCTCACAACCTGGAAATTCATTTCAATGGTTATCATAACAAAGAGAAACATCTCACCTTTACACGGCTGATCAAAGGTTCTCCATATCCAAGATACTGGCCTGGGTACTAACTAGTGCTAGTAGGAGTGGTGATAGAGGAGGAAGTTGAACCATTTGCTTAGCATTTCTTGAGGCAGCTCTCATGGCCATTTAGGCCTTCTGTCTCTCATGACACAGATCCTTGACTTGTTCCCCAGGGGACACCAATCTGATCTGAAGATCACTTTCTGCGGCTGAACACTTTTGACTTTATAATAAAGAGTGGTCCCAAATCAATCTCCACAGGAGTCAGTTTCTCATTTGCTTTTTTTGGTACTGGGAATTGAACTCACGATCATGATTCATCTGCTTTTTCAAAGCTAGTTTTTATGATAAGAATAAGGGTAAGTACTGTGAATATAAATTCCCTAGTTAAGAAAAGAAAATCTTAGTTGTATCTTACAAGCCCTCTTTAAGTTATTCATGGATTTTGGGCTTCCTCTTTGACTGAAACAAGTCATTATCATTTGGTTGTGTCCCTCCAGGTCCTCTTCTGTGTATGTTTATATAAATCTATCTGTAGAAATCTTTTTAAAACATAAAAGTTGTCATGCTGTGCCTACTAATCTATTAATTTTGATATTCAGTAAATGCATCTTGAAGATCCGTCCATGTTAATTCACACAGCTCAATCTTGTCATATGGCATTATGGCAGAATTAGGCATTAATATATCCACACAATGGTATAATGAACACCCTAGCATACAACGTTAATCTTGGGGTACATGGGTGAGCTATGAGATGGAATTGTTGGATCAGAGGATTTCATTTGAATTTGAAAATACTAAGACAAATTGTTCTCCAAAGAAGCCATATCAATTTATAAGTTTACCAGCAGGAAAATACTATCATTTCCCAAACTTTGTCAACATTGTGGAAACTTCTGTCTGAAAGAGAAAAATGACTCATTACAATTGTAATGTGCAGGTCCTTAGATTATAAACATTTTAAAAACATTTTTTGGGACATCAGTGTGGCATTTCTATTTTGCAACTGTTCATAAATTCTGTCCATTCTTTTAAACTCCTAACAATGTAGTCTTTATATTAGTCCCTTATTTTTTGTTCACTTAAGTTTCCTTGTGTCTTATCATGGAAGTTTTATAATACTGTTAAATGGATAAATCTTTCATGGTTTCTTTTTGTGTTGCAAAAATTTTTCTTACCCCATGATCACAAACATCCTTATATTTGTATTTCAACAGCTTTGTGTTTTATGTTGGGCCTTAAATCTGATAATTAGCTTTAGTGAGTGGTGTGTTTTGGTTCTGTGATTTTTAATTAGTAAGCCATTGTCCCAACTCTACTGGCTAGCTTGTCAGTTTGAAACACCATCTTTATTACACTGAATTTCCATTCATACACAGGTCTGTTTCTGAACTTCAGTTCTGTAAAATTCATTAGTATTAAGTAATTTTCCTTGATATCTTCACCAGATCTTCTATGGGGGTCCCATGTCCATTTAAAATACTGCGCTCTCCAACTGTGCAATATCTTTATGTTTAGGGTCTACTCTTAAAGCTCGGGACTTGTACCTCTTGAACTCAGTTGTGAAATAAAGGGATGTTAATGTCGTAGTGACTTAATTCCTACCTTGATCGTTCTCTCCGTATTCCTATTGTTTTGTCTTTTACACCCAAGAGAAATCTAGCTGGACACCAGTAACCCAAGTGTTGTTTATTGAAAAGAGCAGAGAGTACAGGCCCCTAGGGATAGGCCAGGAAACAAAAGCAGTGCACTTCTGTTTCTTGCTCAGCATATACACTTGTTGCCCCACTTGGCCATCTTGTTATTGATGGGCATCTTGAAGCAGCGATCGGACTGCAGATAGGTTGCTATTTTCTCCAAAGCCTGAAGGAAAAGCACACCAAACCTTATAAGCACACAAAACTCTAGTCTAGAGGGCTACAGCAAAACAGTAACATTTATATGTTGCTTGCCTCTACGTTTCCTCCATTTCTTTGGAGAGTAGAAAGTGGCTTGCCCAAGATTACAGGCCCAGAAGTATCCAGCCATTGAATAATTTAGGCCAAAGCTGGTACTAGGGAAACATTTACCACAAGAAGGTCCCTCGGGGCCTAGAAGAGCCTGTGAATACTTCTCTAAGAGAAAGGTACAGGGAGCATCATCACCTCAAAGCGGCACATGAAATCCTTCAGATTTGGGAATTCATCCAGGCACTTGGGTTCAAATAGACGGTTCTGGTCTAAGACATCATAGGTGAGGAAATCCACAAAGGTGAGCTAGAAAGAGGACAATATGATGGTCAGGTCTCAGGTGTTCATAAATAATACCTGTGGAAATAGACAAGTATAATCTCCCTTTCTCTTCGCCTACCTTTTCTCCTGCAAACCATGAGTACTTCCCCAGGAACAAGGAAAATTGTTTTAGTTGTCCAGGCAGCTGTTCCAAGTACTGAGGTTTCATTTTATCCTGGGAAATGGGGGCAAAAGCAAGAATAGCTGTTGTCATCATCTACATAGCTAATCAAGACACAGACTAGTGATCACTTAGTAGCACCTCTCCAGCTGCTTTCTTCTCATTGCCTTCAGCTGGCGGTGGCAAAATAAGAGGAGATTTGGAAAGGATGAGGGAGCAGCCAACAGCTGAATTACATATCACCACAAACAAAATAAAGAGTTCCGTTTGTTATTCTTTAGAGGTTGAGTAGGTGGGAAGAAGGCAACAGCAGAAGAGGGCAGAAATAACCCTTAGATTCCTAAATGCTTCTTTTCCTGATATCCCATTTAGCCGATGCCTGCTATGAAAACTTACATGTTCAGAGTTGTAGCAAAGTCGTGCCAGTTGCATGCGGAAATCCATTATTTGATTTTCCATTATGTCCACTCTAATCTTTTCTTCCTCAGTATCACCACCTGTGGGTCAAATGACAACAAATCACCCTTGGGATCATCCACTCCAGGTGAGTGGCAAACAGTCCAGACACCTCTTCCAGAAGGAAAGTCCAGACACCTCTTCCAGAAGGAAAGCCCAGAGCTGTCCAGCCATTGAATAATTTAGGCCAACTCTACCCTACTCACACATGTTGTGCTTGCGAGCGATGTAGCGCAAGATGGCATTGCTCTGGGTGATTCTGTTCTTGCCATCCATCAGGTAAGGAAGCTGGGAATGAAAGACAGACTCAATGAACAATTTCTCTATCCTGTGGAAGAGAAGACTTGCAAGTGGGAACAAGAGGGAGAGAGATCTCGTGTTAAGAAGAAAGTAAGTAGAAGGTAGCAGTGGGCCCCCCTAGATTCCATAGAAGGACTCTTAAATCTGTATGTGTGCATGTATGCACATACCATACAGCCTTTCTCAGAATAGGGATTTAAATGCAAATTATATATTTTCACATAATTGTAAAGCATTTTAAAGAAAAACTGTAATACAGTAATATGTACTTATTAGTGTGTTAAGTAGCAAGCAGATGTAACTACCATAATTCCAGAATAATGATGACTATAAAGAATATTTAAAATATCTGCAATACATTTAGTAGTATATCAAAATAACTGATTTGTAAAATGTCACAGAGATAGCTAGTAACTAATGTCTTTTTTTGCCTATCCTCACAATCAGAGGAAATCTTTTGTTAATGGTTAGTGGAAATGAAAATGTAGTTTTTTTTCCAGTTAAAGGACTCTTGAATACAATCTATTCTATCCATGTTAAGGTTCTCTGTTCTAGATTCTCTGAGATCAGAGAAGGGGAAAAAGCAAAGATGAATATATTTGAAGGTCTTCCCTTCTTTCTTGTCAGTTTTTAAATCCACCTACATTAGGAAAGTCCAGGTCTAGCTTGAATTTCACATCCAGCCACTGGCTTCGATCATAGTCAGGAGCTGTGAGAGAGAGAGAAGTGGGAACCAATCTCTTGTATAATTCATCTGATGAGAGTGAAAATATCTAAAAAACAGTCTCAATACATCAAATTCCCAGGCCTGCAAAGCTTAACTTTTTAGTCTCGGCAGCCTATTTGCTAACTATCAAGATGAGGGTTGGTCTGGGCAAAGTGAAACTACCCAGGTGGACATTAAAGACGAGTCTCTCCTCACACCGGATCCTGCAGAGAACTCCAAAACGGAAAGCCAAGTTGGCCTAGGGCGCCAAGAGCAACCTTACCTTCCCCGCAAATGTAGTGCTTCTCCTCATACGCTGTATCGGTGAACTCCAGGAGCAGGCGGATGGCGTGCGCCAGCTAGGGGAGACAGCTCGGGATGGTCAGCGCCTGCGCGAGACCCATCCGCCAGAAACCAACCCCCACCCGCCAACGTCCCTCAGCCCGCTCCCCCAACCCCTGGCCCCTCAGGCAGCCCTTCGTCCTGCTAGGGCGTTCGTTAAGCAGAGCTCCCAGCCCGATTCTAGTGGCAAGCTGTGCTCGGCAGGGCCAAGAGATCCCATAGGCTGGGCGAGGGGCGGCCTGCGAGGCTGGGTGGCTTGGTCCGCATGGGTAGCCGCGGATACCACCTGGAGCTGCTTCTAGGGAAACCGCTGAACCGCGGCCCGGGACACCTCTGCGACCATCTCTGACAAGAGAGGCTTGGGGCTATGTAGGGTGATTCACTCACCCCGCGAATATCCCAGTAACCCAGAACCATAGACGACTTGGAAGACATGATGATAAGTTCGTTTGCTTGTCTTCCAGGATAGGCGGTTGAGCCAGGCAGGAGTTGGAGGGGGCTTTATACCTCACAGAGGTGGGCGGGGCCAGCGAGAATTGTTGGCCACACCCACTAGGCCCCGCCCATTCCTTTCTGCGGGGTCACCCGCATGCGCAGTCTCTGATTGAGTCGGTCTAGAGCGGGTTACAGCGGGTGGTGGGGACTGCTAGGAGACTGGGCTGGCGTCTTGCCACATTCCTTTGATAATGCTAGGCTGGGCGGGAAATTCACTCACATCCAAGCAGTAGAGATTTTATCGATGCATTTGCCAAACTGGGGTAGAGTGGGGATTGTTACTGTCACTGAGCAGAGGCTTTACTCTGACTAGCAGGAAATCTCCATTTTTGACTTCTGTTTTGGAGGAGCAAGTGCTAAGAAAGGGAGGCATAAATGATAGGAAGCCACCAGATTACTCAAACTCATAAAACTCTTACCTGAAGTACTTTGGAGAGATAATGTCTTCTGGTCAGCACAGTGTTGGTTCTGAGAAGGGTTTAAGGAGGAGGTGAGCATTTTAGCAAAGCTGATGAGGAAGAATAGGCTGGTGAAATTGGGAATGCTGCAGAGGGCATTCTAGACAGAAGGAGGGTAAAGCAGACACCAGAAGGTGAGAAATGCAAGTGTGTGTAGAAAGGACAGCAGGTCCTGTTAGGCCAGTTCATGAGGCTGTGATGGGATCTAGGGATAGATTTGGCTGATAGATGGCTTTTAACTGCCAAAAGTCATGGTTTTCCTCCTCTGGTCTGTGGGGTGTGTAGTCTAGATCATGCTATCCAACAGAAATGTAATGCAAGCCATACTTGTGAGTTAAAAAAAGAAACAGGTAAATCGATAGATTATTTTACTTAGTCCGTTATATCCAAAACTGCTATAATTTTAACATGTAATTAATGTTAAAATTATTGAGATATTTTCTATTCTTTGTATTGTCTTCAAAATACAAACTGTATTGCACCTAGTAAACATCTCAATTCAAGTTAACTACATTTCACCTGTTCAGTGGCACATGTACTCATGACCGCTCTATTGCCGTAGTCCCCAGTCTTTTTGGCATCAGGGACCAGCTTTGTGGAAGACAGTTTTTCCACAGACATGAAGTTGGGGATGGTTTGGGGATGATTCATAGGAGTGCAACCTAAATTGCTGGCATGTGCGGTTTACAGTAGGGTTCATGCTTCTATGAGACTCTAATGCCAGCACTGATTTGACAGGAGCCGAGGCAGTAATGCTAACGATTGAGAACAGCTGTAAGTACAGAGGAAGCTTCCCTGGCTCACCACCTGCTGTGCAGTTACATTCCTAACAGCATATAGAACAGTACCAGTAGGAGGCCTGGGGGACCGCTTCTTTACAGCACAGTGCAGATTCAGATTCATTGCTGAGGTGAATGATATTGTCACAGTCTCTTTTAGGAAAATTAGTTTCTTTTTGTAGAGTTGATGTGAAGAGGGAAGATACTGTCTTTTTTTATGTACTGGTTCATCCATCCATTCATCTGTATAGTAGTATTTATTAATATGTATATTAATGACAGGCATTGTTTTGGGTTCTGGGAATACAGAAGTGAAATCAAAAGAAAAATCTCTATTCCCAGGAAGCGTTCCTTCTTATAGGGAGAGGTATAAATAAATGAATACATATCAAACGTGTAGTAAGAGGATGATATACCTTTGGAGAGAAGTAAAGCAGAGCAGAGAAATAGGAAGTTAGGAGTGCTTCTGAGGGAGCCTCAGCAAGAAAGGTATTTGTTTTTTAAAGAGAGTATGCATAATAGGCCTCACTGAGCTATTAACCTTAGCAACAATCTGAAATAGGTGCAGGATCGAACCATTGCGTTGCAGGGGTGTGGGTACAGGAGGCTAGGCAGAAGGGGTGCAAATGGAGAAAGTCATCACTGCCTAGACAGCATTTAATATTGAGAGCAGATTGATACCACTATGAGAGTGAGAACAACAGTGAAGAGAGGTTTGTGAGTTTAACTTGAGAATTAGCAAAGGAGTCTGAAAAGGAGTGATCAGTGAGGTGGAAGGAAAATCAAGTGCACTGGAAACCAAATGAAGATTTTTGAAGAAGTTAGTGAGCAACTCCATCAGTGTGGCTGGTAGGACAAATAAGATGAAGATAGTTAACTCTTGGGTTTGGCAATGTGCAGGTTATGGTGACTTTGGTAGAGCAAGAGGTTTGGTCTATAGGAAGCCTATATTAGTTTCCCCATTGCTGGATACAATACTTGACACCTACAATTTAAAGGAGGAGGGGCTTAATTTGATTTGTGTTTTAAGAGCAGCAGACTTTGAAGTAGAAATATCACGGCAGAAGGGCGTAGTGGATCAAAGATTCTTTCTCCATGGTATCTGGGAAGCAGAGCAGGGGAAGAGTGCCAGAGAGGAAGGAGCTAGAGACCAGTCACAGCCCCAAGACCTTGCTTCCACCAAACACTCAGACACCTGCAGAACTGTGTTCCACTAATCCCCTGGCCAATCAGCTTGACACTCAACCCTCAGTGCCACAAAGCCTCTACATTCCTTGTTAGAATTCAACTTCTGAGTTGATGCAGAGACCAGATGAATGAGAAAGAGGCCCTGAATTATGATAATATTAATAATGGGAAGGTGCTACATCCAGCACAGCTCTTTAGGTGGAACAACGGAGGATGCAGAAATAAAGAGTTAAAATACAGAAAAATAAGGTCAAGTGGAGCTTTCTCTCCAGATGGGAGAAAAGAAACTGCTCAACCACCACAGTGTGTTTACTTATGCATTAAGCAGGTTGATGTCACATGACACTCCTTTGCCTAGCAATCTGTTCATGGGCTCATCTCAAGGGGTCTTTGTTCTTGGGACCATCCTTGCTTCAATCCTGATGTGTGATTGATCTCCAGGTTCAGTTGCTCCCCACAGGAGAGGGGAGGGAGAGTCTATGAGCTGAGAGAGAGGAGGAGTCCCGAGCTGCTTTGAGGGTCCCTGCCTGGCCTCCACAGCATGGTCACTTAGGGTTCTGAGCTTTTACTCCTCTAGCTGAGGTGTGGGAAATCATGTTCATCCATTACTTCAGTGGAAGCAAAATTGAATTTTTTATTTGTTTTTGTTTTTGAGACAGGGTCTTGCTGTGCAGTTCAGGCTGGCCTTGGGCTCATTTTGTAGCCTGGGCTAATCTTGAACTTGCAATGATCCTCCTGTCTCAGCTCCTGAGTGCTAAGATTACAAGAGTACACCACCACGCCTGGGAAAATTGAGACTTTTTAAATGGACATTTTGCTGGAATAAGAAAGGGGAAAAGTACAATCATACAGATACAAAAATGTTTAATTCCTGGGTTTCTCTCAAGATAATCACAAAGTTGGTCAAAATTTACCTTGAGATAGAAGTCTAGCTTTTATTTTTTTTTAAAACTTTATTTAAAGAGAAAAACAAAACAAAACAAAAAGGGGAGAAATAATACGTAATTAAAAAAATAAACAGTAAGAAACCACTAGTTGATAAATTACACATTGTCCTCTTAGAAATAGTTGTTCAAGTTACAAAAGTAAAGCATACAAAGTGGACATTCAAACAGTGAGAAAAAATGTGGAACCCTTCATGAATTTGCATTTCATCCTTGTGTAGGGGCCATGCTAATCTTCTCTGTATCGTTCCAATTTTAGTATATGTGCTGCCGAAGTGAGCTCAGGTAGAAGTCTAGCTTTTATTGGGCACCAAAATGTGCTAAGAAATAGCCTAAGTGTTTTATACTGTTCAGTAATTAATTCCAGTTAAGCTTTACACAATATTGTGAAGTAGGTGTTATAGGAAAGAGGCCTGGATGATCTGTAGTTCCCCTGGGTGATCCAGGGTTCAGACCAAGTTCTGTCCAGTACTTATAAGAGTTCCATTGCACTTAGCTATCTGGATAATTCCTTACCTCATCTAAGCCTTTCTCTGAAACACAGGAAAATTGAGCTAAACAACTTTTTATTTTCCTAGTACTGGATAATTTCCCTGGTTTTAGGGATCCCTTAGCTTTGAGAATCCCCAAGAACAATAGGTTAAAATCTCCTCCCTTTGGAGTGCTAAGTCACCAGAAGGTGGTCTAGGCCCCAAATCAGAGTCACATACTGTTCTCAAAAAGAAACTGTTTTAGAAACCTGCAACTTGCTTTATCCTCCCTAAATTCCTTCCCATGTCCTTGGTTCCAAACTATTCCATCCTTCCAGCCCACACTTCTTCAAGAACAAGGCCAATCCTGCTCCCCTGTGCAGACTTTCCTTTGTGTCTCCCAGATGCCCTTCTTGACAGTATACTCTGATCTAAATAAATTCTTGCCTTTATCTCTACTTTGATCTTGGTAAATTCTTTTATTGCCCACATCACCAGTCCCTGTAAGGCTGTCTGTCTCACAAGGCACTCCACTCTAAGAATAGGTTTTCTGATTAAATTTACTCTTAAGTCAGAGCCTAAGAGTTTTACCTTTTTATTACATATTGTGGAGGAGGTTTTTTCTTTTTTTTTTTTTTTGCTTTCCTATTTTTGTATTACTAGCTATGAGAGATGATTTTCTGAGGCTAGGAAGTTGAAGAAAGAACATAGGCAGTCTAAGAAAATAGAGTTAACTGGGCCTCAGATGAAGGTGGGATCACAGAACAAATTCAGCTAAGGAAGATTTATTTTAAGAATTACCAAGGGACTCCTGAATCCATAATACCTAATTTGTAGATTAAATCAATAGAAGTATGGCTCATATTAGGAGCAGGTAGAAGCTCATTCTATGACAGTTTTGAGATTAAAGTAGGCTACTTACACTAAAAGCTACTAGAGGCCGCAGACAACCCAAACTTTTTAACATTAGAGAGAACGGTGATCCAAAGAATGGAACAGCTTGTTGAGTTCACACAGCTGACTGGAGGAATTTTACCTTCCTATCTAGAGTTCCTTATGCTCTGCCACTGATGGGGAAACTACAGAGGAAATTGAAGGTTGGCTTACATTGTATAGTAGGGAACAAAAATCACATTGCAAAAGAAGTTATTAAGTGGAGCCATGAATACCTGACTCGGTTATTAGTGCTCCTCTAGGTCATCAACCAGCATGATGATCACAGCCTACAGCTGTCAGTCCAGCACTCTTCGATACTGTGAAATGCAGTGTGCTCAGCTGGGCTGGTGGTTGGGATACCAAGAGATATGGACTTGGAAGCTTAGAGATGCTGAACAGTCTTGGAATTTATTGATAGTAAAGAGAGTTTGGGCCATAGTTTTCCAGTGCTGATTTCCAGCTCCAGGTCACAAAGTGAATTCTGTCCCCTCTTCAGTCAATCTGCCCGCCAGTAGATGTAGTATTGCTGCTTTTTAATGTCCAGTGTCCCAGCCCTTCCTGCCTCCCTGCCTTTAGCTCTGATCAGGCCCAGAAGAAGCTGCAAGGGAGGCACATGAAAGACTTGAAGATACTTTTACTGGGAAGGAAAGGGACTGAATAGACTCCCCACAAACCTAGACAGAAGCGTGCCAGGTGTAGGAAACAGAGAAAATAAATAGGTAGTAATTGGGACGTGTTCCCAGCACAGCAGGAAGGGTACCATTTGCTGCAGCACCTGGGCCTGTTCACCCTCTTGCTGAGTGAGCTGAGCTGTGTGGTTTGCTGAAGACCGAGGGGTTGCAATTCTCAGGATTCTAAAGTGTATCAAATACTCCATCTTGTAATGCAAAGTCCTTGATCTTGGAGGTTTCTGAGCAAGTGTCTAATGGCTTATCTGATGGAGGAAAAGAATTTAGATGGGGTTAAAGTCAGTTGAGGGAGTCCCAGAGCTCATGCCACCAATAAGCTTGGAGTGTCAAGGCACACCTGAGTGCAGGAAGACAAACCCTGGAGGAGTACCATCTGCTCAGCACGTGCTGCACTCAATCCCACCCAGGGTTGGGGCTGCTTAGCTTGCCACCTAGCACTGATACTCCCACTCAGACCCTCCCAGTAGGAATCAGGACCCCACAGTGTTCTCACCCCTAGTGTCCTTCTGACAGCCTCTAGCCGGGCCACAATCCGTGGGGCCTCCTGGGGACACAGCATCTGAAGCTCTCCAGTTCTCATGTGAAGTAGCTGGTTTCCTGTCATGGACCCAAGGGTCTTCACCGTGCTGTCAACAAAAACATCAGAAATCAGCGGTGAGTGGGAAAATGCTGGGCCTGAGTACTTGGGTAGAGAAGGGGTATTTGAGGGCTTAGAAGTTAGGGGTTATGGAAAGGTTCATGGAATGGGGTATCTGAATGGAGGAACTGGTTTGGCTTCAACCAATCCCAGGACTCTGGAGGAAGTGCTCTGGAAGAGAATGTTCTGGTAGGGAGGGGTGATTGAACCGGCAGCCAAGATTTTTCCCAAGTTCACTACCCCATCCTTGCTGCCTTCAACAATGCATGGGTTCCCCAATTGATGACCTAACCTAGGTTTAGACACCCCACTTTGCTGTCCTTTCAATCAGCAGGGACAGCCTGCAATGGAGTTGTCAGGAACAGTGGAGGCCAGGTTGTACGCTCTGGATCTCTGCGTTTCCATGGATATCATCTGAGTCCTTCATAAGACTCTTCCCCATTACCCTATGGGCCTGGGCACTCACACAGTGGAGAAGTTCTCTGCCTGCAGCCAGGCTTTAACCTCCTCAGGCCTTGAGCTAAGTCGAAGCATTGGTGCCTAGAAGGGGGTTGAAGCAGGAATCAGAGGGCATCTCATCTCACAGGCCCACACAGCTCCTAATATTCAGGTCCCCTCTCTGAGGTCCCCTCAAACCACTTATCTTACTCTCTCATTCTCTGGTCTAGCAGTGACCTCTTGTTCTCTGGTCTGATCCAAGACAAACTTGGCACCCCATAAATATACAATAAACTAATAAATCAAGCTTAAGACTGTATCCTCCACTTTGTCATTAAGTCCTCCTTAACCCCACCTCTGATCCAGGACTTATGGCTTTTGGATAGCCCTGGCTGGGTAGTACCCGAAGGGATGACGGGGCCTGGGGCCCAGAGGCTCCTGATTGCAGAGGCTCCAGGATGTTGCTGGGAATGTAGCCACTCTGTCCTGCCTCATTCTTCACCAGCCACCACCGCTTGCTCTGGTCCAGAATCTGCCAAGAGTCACCACCTGTCACTTCAGCTTCTGTCTTGCCAGCCTCCGCCACTCCCCAGAAAGCCTCCCCACCACCACCTCAGGCTTTTCTCACTTTCCTCCTCCTTTTCTTGGTCACCTATCCAGGCAGTCCCATGTTCATGCTACCCACTCCAGGGAGCTCCTACACCCAACCATTGCCTCCTTTACTAGCCTCAAGCCCAGACCTTACCTCCAGTACCTCTCCCTGGACCACAGTCAGTTCCTGTGGGTTCCTTGCTTCAAACTCATATAGGACTTGCATTTTCAGAGTTGGCTTGACTGGTCTGGGGCTGGAGGACCGGTGGTTGGCGTCCTCAGGCTGAAAGCCATGTTTATATATTTCATCCTCAGCAAAGTATGGGGTTCTATGTAATCTAGAATCTCTGCCATAAAAAATGGAGACAGGAAGGCTGGAGAACATGTCTTAGAAATTAATCCCAGTCCCAGTCCCAGAAGCCCCGGATGTCCCTTGACTGCTGACTAGTGTTGACTTTTTGGTTCCCTTACAAGGTGGTGGCAGCAGTGCTAGATGGGGCTTTGGGTGGGTGTTTCTGCAGATAGGAGGACTCTGCAGACATTTCCAGCAGTGGGATTTTCTATGTCTGACCTCCGCTTTGAATATTTTCTACTAGAGCTCTGGGAAATCAGAGGCATGTGTGAGCAGTATCATGAGAAGAAGGGTTTGGAGCCTAAGGAAGATACAAAACTGATAACACAGTGTGGGAGAGGGGTACATTGGAGCCCACAGAGTTTCTGAGATGTAGAGATCCCGAGGTTGAAAGGCATACCGGAGGGTAAGAGAGTCCTGATGTCTTATGGGTGCCTGTAAGGGACAGAACAGAGAATGAGTGAGAGCAGGAGGCAGCCAGCCTGGGTGATAGGGAACGGGCTATCAGACACACAGCCTTACTCCCACACAGCTGCCTCCTGTCCCTTTCCTACTGACCCTACAGCAGTAGATGTAGGTACTCACACCCACCTGCTCACCCATCATTTAATTGTCATGTACCGATGATTTGGACTGGGAAGGCAAAAACTTGTCAGAGACCATGGTTTTGGGTGAGGCTCTGTGCCTAACATGTCTTACCTGGAAAGAGGACTCCAGAGGCTGCCAGCCATTAGAGAATGTAGGTTGGTAGGGAGGAGGCTCATTGCCTGTCCAGTCAGCCCTGGGGGGAGAACAAAACTGAATTCCTATCACTCTGTGCTTCAGGGATCTTCTAGCCAATGGGAATGTGGTCCATGTGCACAGAGAAGAGGCTGCAGAACACCTACATAGGAGCAGTTTAGTAAGAACAAATCCTGTGGTGCAGGTGTCTGAGGTTTCTCTGTCCACAAAGTCCTGATATAGCATCCCCCTGATAAACAGTAGACACTCATCACCCAGATCAAGGGTTAGAATTAAGGTAGTAAAACCCAAAGTGTTAGGGCTAGAATAACCCTCGGGGTCTGGTGCAGTATTTTTTTCCTAACCTGTTGGCAGTGTCCCAGCATCTGATCTCTTTTTTTCTAATTACAATGCGCTGGAATGTTCTATATGAGACGCACCATGGCAGGGTTGTTCTAGTTGGCACTAGAATGGGGCTGGCACTTGCCTCTCAGCCTTCCTCTTGCCCACCAGCAGGGCTTGGATAGTTCTTGCAATGCTTGGATAGTTCTACTTGCCAGCTAGGTGTCCGCTCATCTCCTTGAGGAAGTCCTGCTCCCTGCCTCACTTGTGAAGAGGTCAGTATTCCTTTGAACTTAGTAAATCATTGGCTTATTGCTCCTCCCAGGCTTTGCTGCACATGTTTCCCACTTGTCTGTTTTTCTTACCCTATTGGACGTCTGGAGGACTGTTCCCTGAGTACTGTGTGGTAGGTACAGAGGTGACAGATAATAAATGTTTGTTCAGAGGGAATGGAGAAAATATTTCTTCTTCTGAACCTTCCTCACTGATGCCTTCTCTTTGCCTTAGAAACATACACAGATCTTCCCTTGACTCAGTTGTGACCCTTTAATCTGTTACTCTACAACCTTCTCCTTACCAAATGCCTGGGAGTGCGCTTGCATGCCCTGCATACACTTATTTGCCTTTTCTTCTGTCATTATTCCTGCAGCCTGATTTATACCTCTGCCATTATTTTATTAAATGAACCCATGATAATGTCCTGATTATCAAGTCCAGTGGCCTTGTGTGGTCTCTGTGCTCCTCAATCACCACGGAACCTAGTGATACTTATACCTTTGGGTCAGAATTGCAAGTTTGGGCCCAGACTGGGCAATTTAGCAACTTAGTGAAATCTTGCCTCATGTATAGTTTTCCTAAGGTCTCCAATTCTTGAAGGAAGGATGAATTTTAGAACACAAAATGATGTGTTAAACATGATTACTCAATTTTAAAGTGGCTGAGTAAAATATATGAGGTTCTTTTGTTGGAATCCACTGTACAGCCTCTGTTTCCCTGCTTTTCTTGTGCAAGGCAGATGCCAAGGCTGTCCCCACAGACACAGTGAGCCAAGCAGAGCTGTAGAAGTCACTGGGCTGGGAGACCCGCTGATCCAGTGTCCTGGGCAACTGAACACTGCTGTGAGATGGGCAGTCTCCCCTAGATCCATCAGTTATTTCATTTAGTGATAAATCAAGACAGCACATTAAAAATTGGTTATAAACAATTCAAGTGTCCATTAACAAATGAAGGGGTAAGCATACAATGGAATCTCATTCAGACACGAGGAGGAAGGAAATTCCGACACACGCTGGAACATGGACGGACCTGAGGACGTGCTGAGTGAATAAGTCAGTCAGAAAGGGAGAAACCAAGTCTGAGCGCACTGATAAGAAGTATCTAGAATAGCCAAGTCTATAGAGATAGAAAGTAGAATAGGGGCTGAGGAGAGGGGGTAATGAGGATCATTGTTTAATGGCTATACAAGTTTTGTTTGGGATGATGAAAAAGTTCTAGAAATAGATCTGGTGTGGCTATGTAACATGTAGTTTACTGAATTATATACCTAAAGTCACTAAAGTGGTAAATTTTATTCTATTCACAACAAAATAGATTATATTGAACTAACTCATGTATTTAAACAAAGTAGGCAAAACTCCTTTAAATGGACTCAATTGCAAAGAACTGATCGGTAGGCAAAAGGCTAGCTAGAAAAGCTGGCTTATTTCTCTGTGGACTCTTGGTTTTCTTCCTCTGCCCTTTGTCCTATGCTTTTTTAAAAAATAGGGTCTCATTGAGTCACTAAATTGCCAAGACTGAGCTCAAACTTGCAGGCTTCCTGCCTCGGCCTCTCAGAGTGCTCAGATTATAGGCATGTACTAACATACCAGGTACTTCTTACTTTCTTGACCCTTTTGCCATTTGTCACTTCTAGGCGACAGTTTCCAGATGCCCTGCCCTTTTCCTCATGGAAAGAACAGATATGTTTGCTTAAGAAAGTTCGGGGCCGGCTCCTGGCATGCTGCTCAGCTCACCCTGTCACTTCCAGCTGTCACTTCCATTCTCATCGTTCTGCCACACAGCCAGGCAGTCCTCTTGTCCAGGGACTTGCTTCCTGGCCTCTGTAATAGTTCTACTGATCCCATAGCTCAGCAAATCCAAGTCAGTCTTGTCCCCACTTCCCGTGGCTCTCAACAGTTCGGTTTCCGGTCCAGGATCCATCTCAGTTACATCAGCTTGGGGGGCTGAGATCGCTTTTTCTAATTTATAATCAGCTGGCTGCCATGGGCTTTGATGTTACATTTACAGAACCTCTTAAATCAGTAGAGCTTAAATTCTGGACTGGATTGAAACAAAGTTTTCACTGTGTCCTTGCTAACATGAGAAAATAGTTTAGCAGAAGGTTTGGGTCTCTACTTTCCTGGGCAGAAGATATTTCATTCTTTCAGTTGTGGATAGAATTGGTGTTTTTTTTTTTTTTTTTTTTTAGTATTAGGAATCAAACTCATGACCTCATGCTTGCCAGGCAGGGCACTGTGCCACTGAACTAAATCCCTGGGCTGATTTGTTTTAAACTGATTACAGGTGATCAGTTGAATAACATCCCCCAAGTGGTTTTAAAATACTTCTGATTGGTCATAACATAATACCCAGACACCCCTCATGTCTTGCTCTAGTCCCTGTCACTCTCGGTTCACTTCAGGCCTTGTTTTCACTTACGGACTGGTGGTCCAGGCCATTCCCAGGCTCTTCCAGAGACTGCTCTCAGGTAGGCTTAGACAAGACTGCAGCAGGTCAATGGCTTTGGGGGTGAGGAGCGGTGAGATCACTTGAGCTGTAAGGCCATCCTCAGGACACTGGCTCAGGATCTGGGGAACGGATAGACGGTGTCAGGAAGCCTAGGCCAGATGAAATGGAAAAAGGTCCAGAGTCCCCAGCTTGTCTCTGTTGGAGTACTGGTGTCCTTGGCTCTGACCCTAGCCCATCAAACCTGTCAGAGGGTATTATGTACCACAGAGATGGAATTTTGGAGGTGAAGCAGGAAGGTGTGCTGGGTTAATCAAGGGGCAGACCTCATAGCCGCCCTCTGCCCCCCAGGCCCTTCTCCAGACTCTGATCCTTCCCTTATTTTTTCTTGACTTCAACCTATCCCTCTTGATACCCTTTCCTCCCTTTACTCACGAAGCTCAGCGTTTGGAAGAGAATGTGCACAAACTCAGGGGCACTTGTCTCCTGAAGCCTGACGGCCAGGTTCCCCTGAGGATATAGGACAATGTTTGTCTTACCTTTTACCCTATGACATCTTTACCAGGACCCCCAGTACCCCACATAAAACAATTGTTTTATGCCTTGGCTGGGAGGAGGAGGAGAAGCTAGAGAAGGGAAAGACTTGGGATGGTTAGAGAGTAGGGGAAGGGGTTTGGGGACTTGCAGGAAGACACTGACCAGGAGATTGAAGCTGTACTTGATCTTCTGAAAGCAGTCAATGTACTCTTCCTGTGTTATCCCTGTGGGAGAAGAGGTAAAGGCAGTGTCGCAGAACATCCTAAGACAGCCCATTCCTCTCCCATGGTCCCTAACACTTACCTCCCTGAGTCTTGCTCTTCTTTTTTCCAAGTTTCTTCTTCTTCTTATGGCTGGCCTTTGCCTCAGTCTCCTTCAGCTTTTCTGTGAATAGCTCGATGTCCCTTAGGACACGGTTCAGTATCTCCTAGACCCCCAAAACCCAGGGCCTTGAGTGGGCAGTTAGGGTCACCCTGGAAGTCCAAACCTTGCCTCTGTCTTCTGTCTGCCACAAACCCCCCACCTTGGACCCAGACTTGGGTCTGACCAAGCTCATCTGTCTCTCCTTAGCCCAAGTTTCCCTGGCCACTCTGGGGTTCTAATCTTGGAAGAATGAAAAGATTCTTGTTTTCCTTTACTCCAGTTCAGAAAGCCTCAGAAAACCCAAGGTTATCTGTAGTTACCTCTTCCCTTGTTGTGTGCTCGGGGGACGGTGACTGCCTTGGAGAAGCAAAGGCACTTGGTTCTTGGGCAGTAGGGTAGTGTGGCGGGAACTTCGGGGGTGGTGGGATGTCTGCAATAGAAGGGGATCATGGTCCTAGAGCTGCTTTGACTTTCGATTCAAACCTTCTCCACCCAATCACAAATCCCAAACTTACTGTGCTCTGGGGCCATTCGATGGGGCTGTTCTGGAGGGGACCCTCGCTCTGGAAGGGAGGCCTGTTCCACAGGGTGTGGCTTTTCCAGAGGTCCGTTCCATTTCTCCTGACCTGAATAAAGGCTTCCAAATTGAGGTCTGTGGAAGACATTGTGAAGGATGTGTCTTTGAAGAGATTCTTGGTACAGAGAAACCTTTCCCCAGAAACTCTGCCCCTGCTTCCTGCTCTGCATCTGACCTTCCCTAACCCCATTCTGCCTCATCTGCTTAAACTGCAGGCCTTCTTGGGTCCCATAGAAGTCTCCAGGGACAGTCCTCAGTGCCTTGTGGGTCCACTCCTTTCCTTACCCCCAATCTCTGTCCTGGTTTTATCTCAGTTTTAGGTCTGATTGACTGTACTGGAGGCTCTTGAGTTCCCCAAGGTATGGTGCTAGGGTCTGGCTCCCCAAGGCCTAGGCTATGAGGTTTCACATGTGACTGGGCAAAGGCTGCCTACCTTTGCTCTAGCTCCTCCTCCAGTGCCTTCTGTAGGCTGGTCCTCAGTCTCTGTGCCTAGAGGAAACTGTAGTCAGCCAGGGGTGTGTGTGTGTGTGTGTGTGTGTGTGTGTGTGTGTGTGTGATAAACCCACTCCTGGCCACTCACCCCTACTTCCTCACACTGGAAGAGCAAAGTACTGGTGCCTGGCAGGCCAGACTCCTGTACAGTGATGGACAAGATCGAGTTGTAGGAGCAGGTGTTGAGAGCCACATCCATGGCCTTGATGTTGTCTAGGCGGTAAGAGTCCAGCTCCTCCTGGGTCAAGCAGAGAGATTAATTGTGAAGCCATTGAAAGCCAGGTTTGGCTCCTGGGAGCTCTTTATGTGGTTTCCCTCTGGGATGGGGTGCCATCTACCTGACTCTTGTGCCTCTGTCCCACCTCCTGTCCCCTGTTACTTCCTGGGCCTGGTGTGTGTTGTGTATGGGGAGGAGTGGCTGCTGTTTTGGCCATGAAGCAGTGGAGTGGAGGAGCATGAGGTGTGTAGGGCCCATCTCTGGGTTTTGTGGGAGGACTGACCTTGGTCTCAATGTCCAGCAGCTGGAGCCAGCCATCTTTGACCTGCAGGATTAGGTCTTGGCTCCATACCCGGCCCTGCGCATCCATCTCCTGCAGCTTCTGCAGGACATCCTTGGGCTCTTGGATTCTCTGTGTCCCCAGCTTACATGTCATCAGGTGCTAAAGGGAGAGGGGACCAGACGGGGAGGAAGCTTGGAGAAAGAGTATCAAATGTGGGAAGTCAGGAGTAAAAACAGAAAAGGAGGAATGCAAGTCCTTCTTCCCCTTATTTGGAGGTCCCAGGCTCTTAGTGGAGCCCCCTTTAAGGTCAACGTGAGGGTCAGTATAGAAGCAGCTGGGCTAGGGATGGGGTATCCAGGCCTGCATCTGAGGTGCTGCACATGAAGTTTTAGGACTCCAAAGAATGGATAGTGGTGAGGTGGCTGGACTACAATCACCCAGCAAATGATGTCTGAACTCCTGAGGGGTAGGGGACCATCAGATCTGTCCCTGGCTTCCTTTGCTGCATGTAGGAACTGATCCCCTTAGGCAGATCTTCCTCCTCAATTACCCGGCATTCTTGTTTCCCTGCCTTTCTCATACTGCTCCCTATGGTCAAAAGTCTTTTCCACCTCTGGCAATCTACCACCTTGGGTCTTTCCAGATCAAGCCCATCTCCTGATTCTAACTCAGAGATCACAGTGATCTGTCTTCACTCAAGGTCTTGTCTATTGCTAGCCTATGGTTTGGTGGGTTTTTGCCCCTATCTACAGCTCTCTAGGAATCCTTCCTAGGAATCCTCTCTAGGAATCAATCCAGCCATATGTTGCCATAATGAGTTGCCCTCTTTCCAGTCTGTTTTCCTCTTCCAGGGAGATGCAGTCCGTGTTCTCCCCCTGGATCCTCCATTCCAGCTTGGGGCCAACTCCTCTCCCTATTTTAACACTGCCATTGGTTCAGGGGATCCTGATACTCTTGTTATCCTGAAGATGTCTCCTCTTTTCTATTAGGCCTCAATGAAGCCAGTTCATCAACACGACTTCAAAAACAAGCCAAATACCCCTGGCTTCTCCCCAGCTGGCTGAGGAACCATATCTCCATTGCCTTGTGGGGTAACCAGATCCCATGTCAGTGTCACTCCCTACTGTGTCTGTGCTATAGCCTTAATACCTGAGACTGTTAAGGCGAGGGCAGTTTCTATCCCACACCCTGTGCTGTGGCCCTGACCGCATCTCAGTGACGTGTACTCTTCTGGCCATACCCCTGTGGCCTGTGCTTTGCTTTCAGCATGGTGTTGACAGCCCTTCAGGTAACTGGAAGTAATCTGGTAGGTAATCAGGAAGTGTCATCATTTTAGGTGGGGCCAGAAACTCCATTCCAGCAACACAGACTGCTGGACATCGCAGGCCCAGGCACAACCCCTCCTCCACATGGCCCTCTCAAACCCTGCTGCCTTCATATCTTTCTTCCTTGAGTCATACCTGGTCCTGAGCAAAGAGCAACTCTATGGAGGTGAGTGTAGTGAACAGTGGGTAAGATACAAGTGTGGTTGGTTGGGATGATTCTAGTGGCTTCTTGACCCCAGATATCTACCCTCTCGCCCTCCCCTGAACCTGTTGTGCCAACGTCCAACCATTCTTCCTCCCTGCATATGGCAGGTGCTGTTAAGCTTCAGATTTTTTTGAACCAAGTTCACAGAATTTGGCCAGGGCAGATTACTGGCTTCCACAGCAGGGCCATGCATCCTGTGTTTTGGGAGGGTTGTGGGCATACAAGAACTCTTAAGTTTACTCAGAAACCACCCGGAGACCCCAGAGATACTCACCTCCACCCTGTGCTGCTGAAGGGTGGGCTCTGTGGTGAGCCTCTGGGAATATTCTTTCCGGTGCACTGTGGGAGAAAAAACCAGGGACAGCAAGTGCCAGAGGGATGAGATGAAGCTTAGATGATTGCAGGAGTGGTCAGTGCTGGGAGAGAGGCTGGAGATTAGGGAAGGAAGCAGTTTAGCCAGGATCTGAGTGAACAGAGGAAAAGAGGCGGTGGAAGAAGCTTACAGTAAATGGCTCTGCTGCTGGGCCGGGACATGTTGATGCTGCTGAGTACAGCTCCCTAAAACCCCAAGAGAACCAGAGACCACCATCAGAGGTAGGAAGATGAGCCCCAGGTACCTCTGAGCTGAAGGCTTCTATTGCTCCCATCTGGGACCCAAAGCCAAATGGATGAGCCATGCCCACTTCTGTAGGGAAGACGAGGCTCAACAGCCTTTCCTGCCTGAGCAGGCCTTCTCAGTCCCATTTCAATTTTGCAAGCAGGAAGGAAGCTGATGTTAGCCCCTAAACTGGAACATTCTCAGGGGGAGGCTGTGCCTTCACATGTCTGTGAGGGCGCTTTGTAGGACTTGCTAATCTGCATTCCCCCAAGTACCTGACAAATACCTGTGCTTTTTTGCCTTCCCTGATTCCATATTCCTTCCCGGGTACTCTCTTCCCCAGCCTTTGAAATCCAGCTCATGGAGCTCCTTCCTGACACAGTTCTCTTTGGCCACCACTCTGCCCATATGGCCCTGTGAGTGCCTCACAGCCTTGTACATTGCCCTCTGACAAAAACAGTCAAGCAGCCCCCATGGCCAGTGCCATAAGACACTTCTAAGCCCCTCAAGAACATACTCTGTCCAGTGTTCACCATCTTCCATTTGCACTATTCTATGGCTTATACTTTCTTCAATTCTTTTAATCCTCAAAACAAATTCATGAGGTGAATACTGTTATTATCCTTAGCTATAACATGTCCTAGGACTCCGACACTCAAAGAGAGCAATACACCTGAAGTCACTATGATTATTTCACAGAAAATGAACCCAAACCCATTGGCTGCACATGTCATGTTTGACATCTATATCTATATCATCTATATCTATCTCCAATAAGGGGAGTGGGCTGGCAGTTGAGTGGGTCTGGAGCATTTGTCTATTGAAATGGAATGCAGTTGAATGCGGTGTGTGTGTATGTGTGGGGTGAATTGGGTGTTAGTCTTGTGTGTGAGTCAGTGGTATATGTTAGCTGAATGGGGAATCATGAAATGGTGTTGGTTTGTGGGTCTCCATACTTTCCCATGGTGCACCTGATGTATGTATGGAATCCTAGAATATCCTGGGCAAAGTGTAAGGAAGCACCCACACCCATTTATTAGAACTGTTATGAAAATAGTTACAGAGGATCTGATAAGACTCAGTGATTGGGGAAATGAATCTCCAGTGAACAATTATAGGACTTTATAGAGGAGGAGGCCAAACCTCTTTTTCCTCGTTTGAAGGGACCCCTTTCCTCTGCAAAGAGGAGTCCTGGAAGCCTGTTCCTCACCCCAGTGAGCAAGTATGACACACTTCCTGATTCTAGACATGGAGGAGAAAGCAGCGTTGTCCCCTTGAATCCCCTCACCACGGTAGTCCTGTGGGTCCTTGTGAGTCTGTGGAGCAACAGTTGCTGCCAAAGACCTGAACCTTAGGAAAGGGAAGGAGGCCAGTTTTGGCCCATCTATACCCCTTGGAATGTGGGAAGCTGTGCCAGCCCCATTTTTCCCATTTGTCCCCCAAATGTAGGATCTTGAAGCAGGGAAGTGAAATCTGTATCATAGACACTGGGGTGACTATCCCGAAGCCACTTCCCAAACTCTTTGCTCTGCTTCTGAGCCCATAAGCCACCCACTGAATTCTAAATCGTTCCCCAGGCTTACCCTGGAGAGGCCCTGGGCTGGGAAGACACTGAGTTGCCACCACTTGCCTTGGGGTCCCCGGAAGCAGGCCCAGGCCCTGATCTTACCTGGAGATGGGTCCTTACCTGGATGATAATGTGATCTGATAGCTGATTCCCCAAAGGGGCTTGCGTTTGAGCCGGTGGTCAGGTGCTGGTTGCGGAAAGGCAACGGCTTCTCTGCTTGCTGCCTCAGGGAGAGCCCTGCTGGCAAGCAGGCAGCTCTAGGTGAGCAGACAGGCCCTGTGGTGATGAGGCTCCAGAGCCAGCCACACCTGTGCTCTTTGGACTCTGGTAGGTGGAGAGGTTTCCCAGGCCTCCACCCACCCCACACTGAACTGGACATGAAGTGCCAGTTCTGCTGGTTCCTTGAGCTTAACCAGAGACCCTTGCTTTCCAGATTCCTCCTTGCTGGCCGCTGACCTTAGGTATGATCGTTCTCAGCACTGTCCCTCCTAGGTACTCTGGGGCCCCTGGTTATTATCAGGCACTGAAGTTGGGAGCAGAAAGAAGGGCCATCCAGTCAGGAGAGTCTGGGTTCTGTGATCAGGGTACAAATCAACTGGAAGCAGACTCCAGGCATGGGGGAAGCTGTGGGTTGGAACATGTGCTGTGTGTACATGTGTGCTGCACCCGTGGGCATGTGCTCATGTGTACCCAGGTGGTGTATGTGAATTGGAAATGGATCTGTCAGAGAAGAGGGGAATGGGCACATAAGATCACCATGGCCATCCACTGAGGACTGAGGTTTCTTTACAGCTGGGTTCACCTTGTTCTGTCATTTCTTCTGTCCTTTTTTATCCAGTAAACAGCCTTCCCACCCACTTGTTCCTGTTGGTGCTTTTTCAATCTCTTTCCTCCTCCACCCCACTCCTTGCCTCCCAGTCTTCTAGTGGATACCTGATTTGCTTCAGCAAAGATGGGAAATCGAGGCCTCCTTCTGTTGATATTCAAGAACATACTGCCACTGTGTTGTTTTATTTAAATATATCCTTTGGCAACCTGAGCAGGCCAGGCTCCTTGCCTTCTGGGAACACACAGGACAACGAGGGAGACTAGGTATAAACAAAAATCAGAGAAGAAATGCAGAAGGGGAAACACCAGTATAGGAACTGATCCTTGTAAGACAGAAGATCAGGACCTGCTGGGGTTTGGATCTGTGATGGAGAGCTCCAGAGAGTCTGGGACTACTGACTGCAACCTGTACTGCCGTCTTTGGCTTCCCTGGAACCATTCCAGATCTACCTCTCTTCCCCCTGCCAGCATTGCCCTGGTGGCTTGGAGTCCAGGGCTTGGAGCCTAGTGAGGGGCTTCTACAAGCTTGATTGGTGTGGGCCCCTGGAAAAGTCCATTGCACAGCCAAATTCTCTACTCCAAAGGCCAGATATCTGTTGGCCAACACCTATTTATGACCCTGTGGGAATCAGCCCTCCTCACCTCCTGGCTAATCCTGATCAGTGAGCCTTTTGCCTTTCCTTTTTTTTCCTCCTTATTGCCCTTGCCCACAAGTCAGGCCCACCCCCACTGAAGGCATAGTCCACATTCTACTCCCACTGTCGGCTTGGGTTCCTAGCCAGCACTTTATTTCCACCAAGATCAGGCCAGGCCCTATCTTTTGCACAGGCTCTCCCCAGGTTAATGTGAGTATAACAGAGATTTTCATGGCAGGGACAAGGACTCAACCCACTGCAGGGATCCATGTGACAACTTTGGGCAGAGAAACAATGAGTGCCACATGGCATCCTCAGCATCTTGTACACTGCAGTGCCCATTAAGGATACCTAGGAGCAGGTGGGTCTCCTTAGACCAAAACCCTTTGTAACTTCTTTGGTGCCAGGCCTTGGGGAGGTCTGCTAAAATGAAGTCTACCCAGGGAAGACGAATGTTAGGAAAGATAGAAAGGCTTGATCACTTACTCCTGATGATTTTGTAATGGATGCTTCTGCCCAAAGAAAGTTCCATCTGCCCCAACAATCCTGGTGAAGCATGAGGAGATGAGACTCCAGTGGAAGGAGAAAGAAATGAGACTCAGAGAGTAGCTCCCTGAAATTTGAGGTTACAAAGTTTGGGAGATCTCATTCATTCCAGAGCTTCTTGTACATTTTAAGCTCTCCTGAATGCCAGGCACTGTGCTGGGTGCTGCAACACATCTAGTAGATCACAGGTACCTTAGAACCTCAAAACAACTCATCCTCTTCTCCAACATTCCCGTTTTAGTGAAGGCACCAGTACCAGCTGTGTGTACTGTGGGAGCATGTGCCATTCCAAAGTCCTCATACCTGACTTTTCATCCTCCTGAAAGTTCTACTTCCTCAGCAAGATAGTTTACAGACTCAACCTCCTCTCATCTTCTACTTTCTTCAGGCTCCTACTAAATTCTCTGCCTCTGTTTGTACACCAGTCTCTCACTTGTCCCCCTGCCTCTGTTCTTCCTTCCCTCTTGATGGTGAAATCTTCCCTAACTGGTGAAGTTCATGCTCCAGAGGTAGAAGAAACAAACTCATATAAAGAAAATCAGAGAGAATAAGGAGGAGAAGGGGGGGGAGGTGGGGAGGGAGAGGAGGTAGGAAAGGGAGGGATAGGATAAGAGGAGGAAGGAGGAGAGAAAAGAGGAGGAGGGCAAACAAGGAGCAAAGGACGGAGGGGAAGGAGGGAAAGAAGAGGAGGTAAAGGAAGAAGCAGGGGAGAGGAAGACCAGGAGCAGGAAGGGGCAGAGCAGGGGCTCCCGTCCACAGGGCCCAGGGGGCTGGAGGCATCAAGGCCCGGGAGGAGAGCATAGGAGTAGGGTGGGGTGAGGCGAGGTGGAATGAGGAGCTTCCCCACCCAGATGCCAGGTGGTCTCAGCTGGGCTGGGTCCCAGAGACAGGTCCTGTTGGGGCCTGGCATGCAGAGGATCCTGGCCTGTGGGGCTGAGGGGGATGGCACTGTGGCAGGAGGACTGGGGAGAAAAAAATGTCAGAGCCCTGCTAAGTGACGTTAAAAGGGGATGTGGATGACAGCGTAGGGATGGATGCATGAATTTGGAGAAGACTGCTATGGGAGGGGAGTCAGAACTGAGACAGAGGGATGGGAAGGGTGCCAGGAGAGGGGAGCAGCAGGCAGAGGTCTCACGGCTGGGCAGGAATCCAGGGTGCCAACATAGAATGACTAACAGGAGAGCTGCCTTGAGATGAGTGGACACTGAGCAGGGTGCATGGTCCCACCAGGAGTTGTATCCATGGGCAGGTGGACAGCACTGAGGTTTAAGCGGAACAGTGGCATAGTGCAACCTATAGTTTAGTCTCTCTGACTGTGCTGGGGACAGTGTGTTGAAGGGAAGGCGGAGTGGGGTGGGCTGGGGGACCCATAAAGGGTTGCTGCAGAGATGGCAGAGTACATCAGGGCCTAGAGAGTGAAGATGGAGACACGCTGCAGGGGAATGAACACATGCACTGTGGATAGACTGGAAGGTTGTGAGGAGGAAAGGGGACTTCTGCACAGCTCAGGTTTTTGGCTTGGACAGCTAAGTGGGTTATGATGACATTTAGTGAGAAGAAGTTGAGAAGATGAGGAAGAATGGAGAATTTCAGTGCACATAGATGGCTTTGTTATGTTGGGAGAGAAGAAGCAAACTTGAATTGGGAGCAGAGTGCTTGCAGCACAATCTTCCCAAGCCATGAGGGAAAAGACTCTTCAGGGATGTGGGAAGAAGTTCACAGTGGAGACAATGATAGAGGCTTGGGAGTTGTTAAATACACAAATTATATTCAGAGGCCAAAAGCTGAATGAGATCACCTGGGGAGTGTGTGTAGACGAAGCACAGTGAACCTGGGCCTGAGTCTAGGGCCACAAAGTCAGGAGGAAATGCCTGAAAGATTGAGTGGGGTGCCGGTGAACTCCAGGAGTCCAGGAGGGCAGAGTATGTTAAGAAGGAAGGAGGAGACATCTGGGACAAATAATGGAACTACCAAGAGGGCAGTACCTGTGTATATGTCCCTATGGAAGTCATGGGTGGTCCTGTCACCAATAAGATAAGGCTTCTTTTGCTCAATTTGGATAGAAATCATGAATAGGCAAAGTGTAGCTATTTTTAGTGTTAACAACCCTGAGCTTATAGTGCAAAGGAGATGAGCTTATTTTTAGCAGCTCTTTATTACTTTGCTGGCAGCCAGAGCCAACAGGTACCAACAGGCCTCTGGAAACTTCCAGTTGTCAAAGGAGGTTCCCCGTTATTTTCTGTCATCATTCGTAGGCTGCTAGTTCCCTCAGTGTTACAAGCCAGATCTGCTGGCCACTTGTGGTGCCAGTGGCTGTGGTGCACACATTCTTAGTATACAAGGTCAGATGGAAATCACAAATAGGCACAAATACACCTATTCCTAATGAAGTCATCCAAAAGAAGCTGCAGCATAACAGAGAACAATACAGGGGATGACTCATTAAAGATATGGGAAAAACTGCTTGAAGGGGAATAAAAATGTAGGCTTATACATGTGAAGGGCCAGATTTTTTTTATTTGGTCATGGCTAGGGAAGGAATTCCTCGTGGGCTTAATTGAGGAAGGCAGCAGGGGGACAGGACCATCCAGAGTCTTCAGAGTAGAGTTATCTGGCATGAGCTCCTGACTGCAGCTTGCTACAGCCAAAGCAAGGTTCTTCCAGAGCAGCTGTGTAGTGTGTGATGTAGTTGTGATTGGCTTTAGGACAGTAGTAGAAAACATAGGTAAAAAGTACCTCTTGGGGAGTGTTGTTCGCTTTGCCTCCTGTCTGTCCCCTGGAGACAGTGAGGTCAGGAGTGAGACATGGGGATATTTTCAAACGTGTTTGGTTGGGAAAGTATGTCTCATATTTGCCAGCGGAGAGGCTGATGAACCAGCAAAAGTGGACAAATAATGGAGCTGAGTGTAAATGCAGGAGCTAGCTTCAGTGAGAGAGTAGGGCAGTGAAATTCTCCAGCTCCATCTGTGGGTCAAACAGACTCTGCTGAGTTACACATGCCTGCCCTTCCCCGTTAAGACAGAAAAGAAGAGAGGGAGATTTGGAGGGCAGATGGGCAATTTTCTGGAACAGGGTAGCATGAGAGGCTTGAATTTTCAGAAGAGAAATCCAAGCCCATAATTGAGGGGAACCCAAAATAAACCTTCTGGCTCTACTTGTTTTTAGTTGAATTTGAAAAATCACTAATTTGGGGGCCACCCAGCTGAACAGTATGTTATTAGTTTCCTACTAGCTTTGCTGTGGATGTGATCTGTGATGCGTGGGTTGTGACAATAATGGCTGCCTAGGTTACTTGCAGAGACTTGAAGACCATTGTTGTCAGAAGCTCTGACTCCTCACTTGGGCCTGCAGATGCCTGATGCGTGAATAAAACAAGGTGACAATCTGTGGCACTTCTGCTTTCATACTGTATAAAGGTTGTTTCTGCACACAGACATATTTTTTATTTAGGGATATTGGTGCAAAATAGTAGTATAGGTCTGATTTTCCTGAAATTTCTTAATTCTCTTTCCCCTTCAAAGGTAAAGACACCAACATAAGAGTAACTAACATATTTCAGAATCACTGACGATCAGCAGATTACTAAACGTCAGTTTTCATAGCATCCTATTCCAAATCAGCAAAGCAGCACCCATAAGTATCCAATTACAGACCTTTTTAAAACTCATCTTCCTGTCCTGACCCCTTTCCAGGATAGGAGGAGCTTGGAACTTAGACTAAACTAAAATAGACATTCAGGGTGCTAGGGCTCCATCTTCTTGATTTTGCTGGCTTACCAAATAAATATTTTCCCTGGCTCCCAAATCAAGTTTGCCCTTGACTCAATGGGTCCTTTTGATGTAATGAATAAATAGGGTTGAGGTCAGTAAGGGGCCTCCAGTGCTCCTGAAATCTACCGTCTGGGGTGGGAGTTGGAGATTGGAACCTGAGAGCCACCTCTTTGTATTAAGTCCTCCTGGGTTCCTCAGTCTCTCAAACCCTCGGACCTGAAGTCAGCTCTGAGGACTATTTTTTCTCCCTTTGGCTCATTATCCTGGAAGTTGGATGTTACCTTTCCTCTGCTATGCATCCCCTCTTTCATTCAGGTAGATGATTCTGGGGACTGGATTCCTTGCCCTGACAGCTCCAGACGGAAGTCCGCTGGGGTGTTTGCAATATCCTCAGCAGGCTCTTAGGAAAGCCCAGCTGGAGAAGAACCAGAGACAAGGCTGGGAAAGGGTGCCTCCTGGAAGGAAATCTTCTCAGGATCTCAAGGTGGGCCCTGGCCCACCACACAGGACAGGCGAGGAGAGATGGAGAGCCAGTGTCCTGTCTGCCTACCTAAGAGCTCTTGGCAGTCAGCTGGGCAGCTCCTGCCCTCTCCCTGGACCTGGCCTAACCTACCAGGGGCATGGAGTGGCCCAGGCCTGGACCAGGGCTATGCACTCACTCACACGATCCTGCTCCTGCCCCTGCTCAAACCATTGGCCAAGCCTGGCACAATGTGGCCATTCAAATCCATGTAGTAGAAGGATCATCAATGATGCAGGGCAAAGTTCACTGAGTAGTACTGAATATAAAATGCAGGTTGTAAAACATAAAACCCTGGTTTTGTGAAACAAATACACACAAACAAATAAGTAAACTGAGTCATAGGAAATATCTAAATAAAACCTACAAGAGTGTAAACAGAAGAAATATTGCTATTATATAAATCTAAATGTAGAAAACATGAAGTCTGAAGAGAAAAATGCTTGTTATAAGATGGTAATACTCAATTTTGTAAAAAAAAAGTTATAATGATTAAAATCTAAATGAGAAAATTATAATCATGTGAATCTAAGTTTTTATTCGGCCCTTGTTCTGTGACAGGCATCCTTTTAAGTGCTTAATAGCAAGTGTTCACAACAATCCTTTGAAACGGGTACCAGGGTTTTCATCTCCAATTTACCTATAATTGAGGCACAAAGAGGCACAGAGAAGTTAATTATATGTCCCAGGTCACATAACCAGTAATTGGCAGGAGTACAGTTTGTGTTTAAGTTGCTGAGCTTGCAGTGGAGACACTGAAGAAAAAATTCTATTTCAAGATGCATGGGCTTCTCTGAGGTTTTACTTTATATTTTTAAAATTTTTCTTACTTTTCTCCAAAGAACATGTTATTTTTGTAATTAATATATAGTTATTACCAAATAACAAATAAGACAAAAAGTGTCCCAGGAAGGTACCCTTCCGGCACCACGAGGACTCTGCCTTGCCCAGGGTTGGCTGTTGAAGGGCAGGATCAGTGGTCTAGGAATGGGAAGGACTCTGTGTGTGCCCCCTCCTTGCTGTGGCCCCAGAGGCCCAGGGCCAGGCCTGTGAGGAATCAGGCTCTTCCCTACTGAAGCACCTAAGGCCTGGGCTGAGCCTGTGCCTGATTGGCCCTGAGTGGGGCTGGCTTCTTTGAATTTGGGGAGGGTGTGTGTGTGTACACATGTATAGGTGTGGGTGTGTGCACAGCCAGGACAGAGGGATCTGGCACCTTCTCTGTCTCTTGGGCCTACACCTCCACATGGATTCCCACCTCCACACAAAGCAAGAGTGGCTCTCTCATCCCTGGTTGCAGCTGAAACCTGCTTAGTGACCCAGAGCCTGCTGTTACTCACCCAGCAAGGAGACTATAAGGCTCTACATGACATGGAGAAAGGGGCCCTGTGTCACAGTCAGTTTGAGTCCTATTCATCATTTGTTAAAATGACTGATGCTGCAAGGAGCTGTGGGCAGGAGGACCCCAAGTGTGAGGTGTTCCTGGGCAACTCAGTGAGATCTTGTTTCAAAATAAAATAAAAACAAGTCTGGAGATGTAGCTCAGCATTCCTTGGGCTCAATTCCCAGTCCTGGGTAGGGGGAAAAATGGCCGATAGTGATGGCAAAGTTTACCCACATGGGTGCATAGGTCACATGTCTGGTAGGTGTGTGTGTGTGTGCGCGCGCGCACGTGTGTGTGTGTGTGTGTGTGTGTGTGTGTGTGTGTGTGTATAAATAGGTCTCCAAAATTATCTTCCCTATGACTCCTTTCTGTGCTGCCAGCCCTCTATGTGAAGGCCCCAGAGCTGCTTCAGCCACCCTGCAATGCTCAGCAGGTTCCCATTATGGTCTCTCTAGAGTGGCTTCTCAACTTTCTGGTGCCACCAGGATCCTTGGGAAGCCTGGGTGAAATGCTAAAGCCTAGACTCCACTAATGGAGAGTCTGCCTCAGGTGATTCAGGCAGGAGCCTCAGAATCCAATTTTTCACCATCTCTCCAGTGATTGTGATAGGAGAAAATGCTCTGTTACTGTCCTGCCTTAAGTGTGGCCGAGGAAGTGGCCAGGGCCAGGCTGGAGGCTGAGCAGCATGGATCTGTGGGGCCGTCCCTCAGGCTACGTCTTGCCATCCTTCTCACTCATGCACCCTGTGGTGGAGGGGCCTGTGCTGTGGACAGTAGCATCACTCCAGAGAAGCTTGCTCTGCCCCGGCTGGGTAGCTGGGGCCAGGAGCCCCACACTCCTGGTATGTGACCTTCAGTAGCTTTTGTGCCCAGAATGTTTATCTACATAAAGGCCTAGGCAGACAGCCTTGCAGGGCTCCCAGAACGAACCTGATGAGCACTGCTTGTGGCTCTGTGTGCTCCCACCAGATGGGGGCGGGTGCAGTGTCAGAACAGAGGCCACCACAGCCCCTGCAATAAGGGGCCTGGCCAGGGTCCCAGAACATGCCCTTGGTGGGAGTGGGCAGCTGTTGAACAGCTAGTGGGGGCTGCTCCCTAGGGTGTGAGAAGAGGGCTGGCTGCTCCAGGGCTGAGGCTGACTATGTCCTAAGGAGATGACAAGCAGCTGCAAGGCCCTGGGTGGAGCTGTGACCTCACAAAGGCTGTGGCCTCTGTGACTCAAGGCATCTTGACACACTATGTGCCTGGCCCTTCAAAGAGTGTAACCCCTGGGTCACAGGGGGCATTAGGGAAACCTTTGCCCTTAATTCCTGACTGCTCCTTCTGACGCGGTACTCATGGACAGCTGAGGCAAGGCCCTCACAATTGTCCAGCTCTGCCCATTCTCACACTGCTCTTGAATCCTTGGAACGTCTACCTTCTCTTTGAAGGCAAGCCCCTCAGTTATTTAGGCCACATTGCTCTTGTGGTCTCCCACAGCATCAGCAGAACCAGAACCCCAGGTTCAAATGAATGAAGCCCGATTCCTCATCTGTGAAATGCAGTCACCACCACCACTACACGTTGAACGTGTGCCCTGGCCAGGCTCTGCTCTAAGCACTCCACACGCCAGGCACAGCAGTGTTTTTTGAAGGTTTCCTGATCTTTCCCAGGCCCCAGGCCGGGACCCTGGCTGTCTTCAGAGAAGTACGGGGTCCCTCTGCTGCACAGTAGGTGAAATGCAGGAAGGAAAGATCAGACCAAGGTGGATTGTGGGCTGCTAACAGGGTGGAGGAACCTCAAAGGTGATCTGATCCAGCCTGGTATTTTACAGTTGAGGAGAATGAAGCCAAAGCCTGCCACCTCCCTGGATAGCCTCTTTGAAATCTGCCTCTGTGAATCCCAGATTGGAGAGAGGAGCTGGGCATTTCAGTAATAAAAGTTTTCCTGACCCATAACCCATTGTTGGTCCCTTTTACTCCTCTGGATTCGTATGCATCATGGGAGGACACCACCAGCTTGTGCCCTTTAGGGAAACAGGGAGGAGCAGTCTGGGCCTGCTCATCAGGATGGCAATTACTTGGTTGGGTAGAGGCCTGAAGGGACTTCTGGAGGGGAGCACTAGTAGACTTCGAAGACTCTGGAAATTTTGTAATTTCTCTGTGTTTGCCATTCATGGTAGTAGCTTTAATTATTGAATACCTCTTTTCCAGGAGCTGAGATATACCTGATGGTTATTATTTCTCTAGTTTTCTATAATATTACAAAATTTATTATGCCCACTTCAGAGACAGGAAACTAAGACTTGGAGATCATATATCCTGGGTGCAGAGGAGGAAGGATAGCACCCCATGCTGTGTGACATGAATGCCTTCCTGCTGACTCACTGCCTCATTTTGTTGTTGTCCTCTTGTCCTTTTCTTTCTTGACCTCTCTGCTCATCCTTACTCTCTGTCCCTGGTCAGTTCTTCAGCTGAAGGCACCTCAGCTGATGGCTCTATCTCCTGTCTGCCTGCACCTCTGGTATCAACAGAGACCTGTTTCTTGGTCACCTTTAACCACTGCCTCCTAGACATTTTAAGCTCACCATGCTCTGAACTGAAGCTGCGTTCCCCACAGTCCCCACTCCTGGCTCCCTCTACCTGCATCCAGTCACCAAGTTTTGCATTTTTTTCTTTGAGACTCCAGAATCTGCTCACAATTTTGCCTCCCTGTCGTCACTGCCTTAGTACAGGCATCTCGATACAGTCTCCTCAATATCCCATGCCGTCCTTTCTTCTGATCCTTCCCCACCTTTGCCCAACAGACTTTCTAAAATTCACATCTACTCATGCCACTGTCCTGCTCATAAATCCTTTAGCTTATTCCACTGCTAAAACAACAACAACAACAACAACAACAACAACAACAATAACAACAAATAACTTCACTTTGTCTCTGTCCCACGCAGGTTCATATTTCTTACTCCAAACCCAGGCTCAGACACTTCCTGAAGCTCCCTTCAGGTGAGTGTACCTGCTTCATCTCACACTTCACTGTTCTTTCTGTCTCCTCGCCTTGTTTACCTGGATAACATATATTTCTTCTTTCCATCTCACTGAACACATTCTCTTCTGAGCGGGTTTTCTGGACAATCCTGAACCTTACTACATCCCTCCGTTGGGTCACGGCTTGTAGCCTGAGATAACACTTTTCTTCTTTTCTCTGCATGATGTTAAGACATTGGTGGACTTTGTCCTACCAAGGGGTTTAGATTTTGATCTTTTGTTTTGTTTTTAAATATAAGGTCTTGCTTTGTAGTTTAGGCTAGCTTTGAACTCGGGGCCCGCCTCCAGCCTCAGCCTTTCAAGTGCTGAGATTACAGGTGTGCACCACCACTTCTGCTGAGCCAGTAGTTCTGATTGAGACCCACAAGACAGTGTGTGAGACTGAAGCCCTAGGAGTACTCGCTGGCCAGCCAGGCTCCCTTGACGGCTTCCTCCTGCTCCTCTACAGTTAGGGGCCCATTCCACCTGGTGGCCAGCAGGGGGCAGTACTAACTCACATTCCCTTAGCTCAGGACACATCCAGCTCAGGATTCAAAATCCTGGGAGAACTAGGGTGGGGTGGCCATTCTGTGAGTACAGAGGCACACCAGGCACAAAGGAAATAGGCCAGCTGTGTACAGCTGGAGGAGAGGGGAGGCTGGCCATCTAGATTACGGGCACTGGGGCAAGGTCAGGTGATCTTCCTGGGCATATGGTCTCCTACACCAGCCCAGCTTCCCAGCCTTTACTATCTACAGCCCCTCCTTTCAGTAAGGGGACCTTTAGCTTTGTGAGGTGTCTGAATTAGGCTTCTGGGGTGCTCCAGCTGCTTTGGAATCAAGCCAAATCCAGAGTGGAGCTGGGGAGACACAGTTCCTCTGCTATTCCCTCCTCTCCCTTCCTAAGGAAGATGTGGTGGTTATCAAGTTGATGGGCAGACATTCATGTGGGCGTCCAGTGGATTCCTACGCAGCAGCCCTGTGCTAGTGACAGAGACATAAAGAAGAAAGTGCGCTTGCTGAGGCATCACCTCACGTAGCTCCCCAGGCCTCAAAGTAAACAGCTTGGCGACTCAGGTGGATGAAAAGGGATAAGGGACTCAGTGTTGTAGAAGCTCCCAGGAGAAGAGGCTACTGCTGCTTGGCACCTCATCTTTACAAATGAGGTGATACTGGAGCAAGGCCTGGGAACATGTGTAGGACCTTATCAGATGGAGCAGGAGGGGTGTCCCCAACAAGAACTAGCCTGAGCAAAGGCTCGGAGACTATGGTTAGAGGATGCCAGTGAATAGATATAGCTGCATGCATGTTTCAGAGACCACTTTGTGTATGGTTAACATTATGCAGTCACTCTTACTTATATGAGTTCTCATTCTCACATCAACCCTCACCTTAGAGATAAAGAGTGGAAGGGCACAGTAAAGTGACAGCCCTGGGAAGGAATGCAGGAGCTGACTTCTTAGTCCTGGGCCATGTGATCCCACTTTGCCTCTATTGGATGGAGTTAAGGGGAATATGTAAGATGGTACATAAAAACCAGAAAAGCTCTTTTCCCAGGGATCTCCCCCTCAACCTCAGCATCTCTGGGAAGGCTGTAAGATCTTCTAGTTAGAATCCTGTTCTTAAACAGTCACCTATTAGTCTATCTCTTAATCTTTTATCCTCCTTTTAGAAAAATTCCTGTGCAGATTCCATTTTTGTGGGTCAGAGATTTTGTTGAGCCTGGGTCAGAAGGACAGAGGAGGGGGCTGGAGGGGATGTAAGGTTGGGAGGGGCTAGGCCAGAGCTTTGGGGCTGGTTTTTAATGACTGACTTTGTGCCCTACTCCCCAGTTGTCCATCTGGGTGGGAAGGGAATACTTGGAGGACAGACTTCTCTCCATGGGTTTTGTCTTCCAGACGAAAGACAGGCCTGCTTATACGGGACTTCCTGCCTCAGAGAAGGGTAGCCCTCACCATACTTTGGCCTGTCTTTGTCAGGTTGCTGTAACAGAATGCCACTGACTGTGTGGCTTGTAAACAACAAGAATCTTTTTCTCACAGTTTGCTGCAGAGTTACCATCTGGTGGAGATGGCTCTTGGTTCATAGATGATGCCTTCTCACTGTGTCCACATAGGGCAGAAAGGATGATCTAGCTCTTTGCGATCTCTTTAAAGACACTAATTCCAGACTGGGGATTTAGCTAAGTGGCATAAGCACCTACCTTATAAGCCCATGGTTGTGAGTTTGATCTCAGGTACCAAAAAAAAAAAAAAAAAAAAAAAAAAAAACCCAAAAAAGCTAATCCCCCTCATCAGGGCATATAATCACCTGATGAAGATCCTGCCTCCTGATGCTATTGCGTTGGGGGCTAGAATTTTAGCATATTAATTTTGAGAGAATGCAAAAGTTTGGGTCACAGCATTCTATTCCTGCAACCTCCAAATTCATGTCATACTCACATGCAAAATAAGACACAAACATCTTAACTTTTCCCAGCATCAACTTTAAAGTCCAAGTCCAAAGTCTTTTCTAATCAGATGTAGGTGTGAGCCGTAAGGTTTAATGTTGTTTATTCTGTTCAGTTTCAGGCTTGGAACCTGTTACCTCTTTCTTCTTGCTTACAACTCCCTTTGGAGTGTGCAGATCTGTCCTGTGCCTGGCCCACTTTTATAGTTTGGAAACTCAAAACTTGTTGGATTTTACATGGGCACAGCTGGAGGGCAATGTGCCTCAGACTCAAGAATAACCTTCTTTGGCTTGGTGCTCTGCCAGGGATTTGGGACCCCAAGACTCCAGGTGACTTACTTCCACAGCTTTGCTGGTTATGCTCATTTTGTGTCTCACAGATTGTAGTTGGGCGACTGTGGCTCTCCCAGGCTGGAAGTGCATGTTGGTTGCTCACCGAGATTGGGGTAGCCTTACACCCTGGCTGGACATTGTAGTATTAGAGACTCTGCAGTGATTCCACCCTCTCTGTTGGTCTTTGTCTGGGTGGCACAGCTGAGGCTCCCCGTGTTTCCAGTCCTCAAAATCTAGATGGAATTGGCCACAACTCTCACAGTTGGCTTTCTCCGAAGATAAATAGGGGTGGCACCTCATAGGTTTATCATCCAGGCATTCCAGAGGGGTCGTGACCATGGCCCATGCTGTGCCAGTGCCACTGCAGTCATATTGCCAAGGAGCACAGAGTTGGGGTGTAGGGAGCACAGCCTCTGCCCTCCAGCCCCCACTGCAGGACCTTGTGCCAAGTGCCTATGATAGAAGAGAAGCAGCCATAATAATCTCAAAAATGGGGGCTGGGGATTTAGCTCAGCGGCATAAGCGCCTGCCTTGCAAGCAGGCAGTCGTGAGTTCGATCCCTGGTACCGATAAAAATGAAAAAAACAAAAAAAATATAGTGAAATAATCTCAAAAATGTTTGCAGAGACTTGCTTTTCTTGACCTGTGAATAACACCTAGCTTCCTTTGAGGTGGTCCAGCCACACTAATTTCCACATCAAGTCTTTGGCCAGTATCCTTGATGTTTTCTCATGCAAATGCACGTTTTCATTCCTTTCACTATAGATAGGCTAAGACCCTTTCTAATTTTGAAATTTTGCTCCTTTTTGATTAAAAATTTCATTTTATATCATTTCTCTTTTTGCATTTTATTATAAATGCTTAAATTCCAGAGTTGCTTCCATATTTTAGATATTTTGCTATGCAGCACGCCACTCTCACAATTAGCTTTCTGTTTTAGTCCTTTTAGGCTGCTGTAACAAAATACTGTAAGCTGGGTGGCTTATGAACAACAGAAATTGATCTCACAGTCAGGGAGGACAGGAAGTCTGCCATCAAGGCACCAGCAGATTCACGTGAGGGAAGGGAAGACAGCTCTTTAGGGTCTGTTTGTAAGACAGCCAATTGTTCACAAAGACTCTTATTTTGCCTCAAATTATTGCCTTGGGGATTAGAATTTTAACACATATATTTCAGGGGATTAGAAATATTCAGACCAAGGCAGCTCCCTTCTCAAATAATTATGTAGTCTCCCTAAATTGTAGATTCCTAAATTAGGATTTAGATATTCATCTTTTCCTTACCAGGGACCATTCAAAAATGTTAATATTATAATATTCTAGCAGAGATATGTAAATAAGAATTAAAACCATTTTACCCACTCTTTTCCTTTATCTCATCCTATTCCCCTGGGAACCACACTCTACAATTTCCTGTTTACCCATAAGATATATCTATATACAGACAAGCATATTTAAGTACAGACTGTGTTCTTAAAAAATATATGCAAATGGGACCATATCATAAACATACTGCTTTGTGAGTTACTTCTTTTTAACTTAATTTTAGAATCTGGACACGCTGCAAGCCTGTATCAATAGATCAAGCACACACTCTTTATAATGATTACAAAACTTATAAAACTGTGAATAACCAGTTTTTAGTTTTTGCCATTTCCTTTCTTTTCTCTTCCTCCATCTCTCCGTCCCTCCCTCTTCTCTGTCTTCTTTCTTTCTTTCCTTCTTTCATCAGACTATAGTTTTTTTGCCATTGCAAACAGTGCTTAGATGAATAACTATATTTGTAGACCAGTATTTTCCAGTTGACTAACAATGTTGGCATTTGAAATTTGAATATATATTCCCAAATTGCCTTCCAAAACTTTGTAACTCTTTATAGTTCCAGCAATAGTGCACCAGAATGCCTGCTTCTTTATAGTTACACCAATGCTGACATCATCAGATTTTTAAAAAATTTTATGCTGAATGTAGTAAAAATACAACAGAACAAGACAGAACAAAGCCAATCGAGACAATGTAGTGACATTGGTACAGAACTTCACAGCAGGATACTGGGATAGTAGTGTAAGGTACTATAGTATATCTCGTTATCTTTACAATAGTTGTCCAGTCAATTAGGTATAGTGAAATCGAACCAGTAACAGACCATCGTAAAACCAATGGAAGGAGAATATTGAATAGAGTGTAACAATTATTACAAAACATAACAGTGAAAATAACCTTTGCCTTGAAACAGAACATAGAAGGAAATCCCCCATATTTGCTACATTGCATGCGGTCATCCTCCCGAGAGATGCTCAGAACTCTGTCCCCAATTGCTGACCGGGGTGGGGGGTGATGTTTGATTCTCAGCCCACGGGCTGCCAGCGCCAGGGGTGCTTACCAAGAGGGCAGGCAAATTGCTTTCTTGTGCAGCCGCCTAAGTCCCAACATCAACATCATCAGATGTAAATCTTTGCTACTTTTGTAGCTTTTAAAATGGCATGAACTATTAAATGTTTATTAAATAGAGTAAGGTACAGTATATAGTATATACCAGCGCCCCCACCCCTTGGAGATATGTTCTAAGACCCCTGGCGGATGCCTGAAGCCAAAGATAGGATCCACACCCTACGTACTGTTTCCCTATGTAAATCAAATGCCTTTTCCATCTTAATTAAGTACTTCTCATGCACTGTGCTGAAAATTTTATAGTTTGAGGTGTGACAGAAAAACTACCCTAAATTTCTTTTCCTTTGGCCACATTTTCACAGATAGAAGATACATTCTTAACATAGATTTTATCATCCTCTGTGATGATTGTTTCTTTCCTCATTAACTTGAAAAGTTACCTTTTACCTTTTCACCTACAGGAAACACTTTGCCGCTACGCTTCACCATCCTTGAACTGCCAGCATCACTGCTCTTGCCTTGTGGGACCATCATGAAATAAAATTTGCGTTACTTGAACACAGATGCTTTGATACCACAGCAGTTGATGTGACAACCAAGAGGCCAGCCTAGGGATGCGTGGGCAGGCAGCATCTGCCTGGATAGGGTGGATGAGGGGATGATCCGCATCTCAGGCAGGATGGGTCGGACCCCATGGGATTTCATCATACTACTGTACACAATTTAAATCTTACAAATTGTTTATTTCTGAAGTTTTCCGTTTATGCTTTTCAACTGTGGTCAACCGCAGGTAACTGAAACCTTGGAAAGTGAAACCGCAGATAGAGAGAGGACTACCATATTTTCTGGCTATTTGAACTTTTTTTTTTACTTTTTTTTGTGACCCCCTCCCCTTCCCATTTTACTAGTCTCGGACCATTTGTGGGATTAATCTTTTTCTCTTTGATTTGTAGGAGCTGTGTGTATTAAAGAAATAAACATCTAGGATTCATTTTATTATTTCCTTCACTATAAATTTCATGTTTGGAAGGGTTTTGTTTAACAGCCACTGTTAAATTATTGCTCCATTCTCCATTTTCTCCATCTGACCCCTGTGTACTTACTCTCAAGATGTTTATCAGTACAAGATGGCCAGTGTTTCTGCATTGAGTTGATGTAATTCCAGCCAAAAGCAAGGCCCTGGAATTTTGTTAATCCCAGATATCTCCCAGGCCTAAATGTAGTGCATGTATTGGCTTTCTGAGGAATTCTAAGTGGCTTGAGGAACCCCAGAGGCCTGGGGTCCTAGAGTGGGAGCCACAGCCTCGGCCTTGGGCCTTTGGCTAGCACTTCCTTCAGCTAGCCCAGCTCACTGGAACCAGTGGCGTGATCTGCACCTGCATGTACCCTGTCCAGCTGTGGATTCTTCTGTTCTGGTGAGTGGGCCGAGTGTTTGCATATTTTTCCCTTTGTTTACGGCACATAAGGGTGCAGGCCCCTCTTGGCTTCAGTAGGTTTCTGAGGCCTGCATCCCATAGGACTTTACTACTGCTGAGCCTGGGGGCTGAGGGCGAGGTACACGTGGGGTGCTGCAGAAGGAGGCTCACCCTGAAAGATCCAACTTGCCTCACTCCCTCCTGCCCATCCTCAGACTCCAGCTCCTTAAGGGAGATTCTTCCCAGTTAGGCCCTGTTCTCTTGTTCTCTGGGCAAGAAGAGAGTGGTTTGTAGAGCTCTAGATTTCTGGGCACCAAATGCAGAAAGGCCCAGGTGTCTTTTTTTTTTTTTTTTTTTTGCGGTACCGGGGATCGAACTCGTGACCTCGTGCTTGCCAGGCAGGCGCTCATGCTGCTGAGATAAATCCCCACCCTGGCCCAACTATCTTAAGGAAGAGCAGGGACCCAGTGGAGTGTTGGTATGGAAGTTGGAAGAGGGTCTACCCAGAGCAGGAGAGGTAGTTTCAGGCTTTTGGGCACCCTCTCCCCAATCTGATGGCAGTTTCTCTTGGGTAACTGTTCCCTCCTAGTTGTGGGTGTTTAGGAGGCGGGAGAGCTCTGAATTCACAGATGCAGGGCAGGGGGAAGAGCAGAGAAGGGTAGGCCAGAAACTATCTCTTACTTCTGACCTGCCTGAGCTTCTACAGCTGACTTAGAAGCTTCCAGGTTGCTTTGTTTGTTTAACCTAGGGCTGACTTTTAAAAGACTGCCGCATTCCTGGGGATTGGCAGAGAAGGTGATTAATGGGGTTGGCAACAGAAGGCAGAGTCTGAAGAAATTAGCAAGAGCTACAGTATGACACTCTTGGAGCCCAGATTCCTTGTACCATGGCCTAGTGTCTCAGGGACTGGTACCTCTGCTGACCTCAAAATGCCCACCTCTGCAAGGTGGGGAAGGAGCCCTTGTGGGACAGAAATTATCTTGCTTTTTCCTGTCAATGCTCCCCAGCCTTCCAGGGCTGGCTTGGTTGGCATTAGGGTTTTGCTCTATTCTCAGTCATGTGGCACAACTCTACTGCCCACCTGGGTGGAGCCAAGGCTAGGAAGGGCACAGCCTGGGTAGCAGCTTAAGGTAGGCAGACCTGAGTCTAATCCTCTCGAAATGGGCCTGGGCTGCAAGTGACTCAATCGGTGTGATACATCAGAGATTTCCCTTTAAAACATCGCCAAAAAAACAACATAAGACAATGCCTGACTCCTTTCATTAAATGTTTACTCATCAAATCCATGGGCTTGAGGGGTCTCTGAGGAGGAAGAGAAAAAGAATTGACTCTTCTTTCTGCAAGAAAACTCTCTCTCTGTCTGTCTGTCTGTCTGTCTCTCTCTCTCCCTCTCTCTATATATGTCTCCTGACAATGAATCTGAGTGACATTCCTGTGCACAGTGATGCTCCATAGATGTATTACTTTCCATTTCCTCTGCCCAGGTCCCCATCAGCCCATCACAGCCAGACTAACAGGACCCTAGTCCGACATTTAGAATTTGGTGGTAAAGAATGTGGCTTTGCATCCAGGCAGAAGGAGGACAAACCTAGCCCTGCCATATGGGAGCTGGCTTTACAGGCTAAGTACACCTATAAATGAGGACCTGGAAGTGCCCACCTGGTCTGTCTGTTGTGAGTTCTGAGTCACGGCAGGGTACGAGCGCTCCCCAAAGGGCCTGGTGTGGAATATGACTCTGTTGCCGTGCTCCTGCTCTCTGATAACCCTTCTCCCCGCTCCTCTGGGAACTGCCCTGCCAGGTCCTGCCCTGCCAGGTCCTGCCCATCATGTCCTGCAGGTATGTTCACAGCTGATTTTCTTTTACCTGTTAAATGCTCAGATCTTTACAGCCCCAGAGTTGTTTTTGTTTGTTCATTTTGTTTTTTTTTTTTTTTTTGTATGTGTGTGTGTGTTTTTTTTTTTTTTTAAATTTTATTTAAGGAGAAAAGAAAAAAAAAGCAGGGAAAGGGTACAAGTTATACAGATTTACAGAAAAAAAATGAACAGTAGGAAATCACTAGTTAATGGATTACATATTGTCATCTTAGAAATAATTGTTCAAGTCACAAAATTAGAGCTTGTAAAGTGGACATTCCATCAATGATACTGCAAACAGTTCTGTTCATTGATCCAATAAAACTCTGTGATATCATTTTCTATCTTATACACTTAAATATACATGCAGTTATATAGTTTGGAGCACTTTCTTTTCTTCTCTTTTGTACCATGACTATTACACATTTTGGGTTTCATTGCTCCCACGGTTCTTATTACTTTTTTGGAAGAGAGTAAAACCAAATGTGACATAACAGAACAGAATCGGTCAAGTCAAAAGGGTGGACATAATAGATAATGTAAAAACATAATACAAGGTGATCAACAATGGTTACCATAATGCCTCCCGCTATCTCTAATAGAATTGCCTATATCATTAGTTATAATACAATTGAACAAAACAGTAAAGAACAAAACCGACAAAACCAAAACATTGGAGACATTGTAGGTCTTCAAAAGTAGACAAAAGTCAACAAGAATGGGCGTCATAATGAATCTCATTATCTTCACAGCTGATGCCTAAACTTTCGAACTTGATACTATCCAGCAAAACAGAATAGGGGAACATCAGTTAAAAACCAGATGGTGAGAGTAATACAGGGCTTTAAATCAAGGTAATGAAAAGTCAAAGTGGGTTACTATAATATATCCTGCTATTTTTTTCCCTTTAATTAAAAGGATAAAGATAAAAAAGTAAATAATGGAGTGGAGATTGAGATAAAAGAGGGCATAACAACGAAACAGCGCAGATCAAAACATAACCATTTAAGCAGAATAGTGTTTCACCACCAGATAATCCTAACCTAAAAGTAGTTACCATATTGTTTCTTTCTTTGAAATCCTTGAGTACAACTTCGTATACTGTAGCATTAAGTATATCAAAACAATGTAAAACCATTCAAGAGAATGACAGCATTACAGAGTATTTAGAATCGACTAACAAAATGAACAATGGTTTCTGTATAATCTCCTTGTCTTTAAAAGGTTTTTGCTTATACTATCGTACATAATAAAATCCAATAAGATACAGCCTATTTAGACCATTGGAGACAGAAGGACAAAAGCTAGATGAGACTTCAAAACAAGATGATACTAAATCTGTATTACCTATTAAGATGTCATTTTCTCCAAAATAGCTGTTCCTATCATCCAATCTTCTCTGCCTCATTTCTGTTAAGCTCTTTTTCTGTCCGTAGCTGTCAGTTTGTCTTCTTCATTTTGTTCTCTGCTCCATTCGTTGTGGCCTCTCTGCCATTATTTCTGGATTCTTTGTATTTTTCTTTTTTTAGAATATCCTGCAATACTCTCTGTAGAGTTGAATTGGTGGTTGCAAATTCCCCCAGTTCCTCTTTATCCTGGAAGCACCTTGTTTTTCCATCAATTTCCAGGGACAGTTGTGCAGGATATCTCAATCTTGGCTGGAGATTATTATCTTTCAATGCTTGAATTATTTCCCCCCACGCTCTTCATGATTTGATGGTTTGTGCAGAGAAATCTGCTGTAATTCTGATGGGTGTTCCCTTGTAGGTGGTCTGTTTCTTGTCTCTTACAGCTTTTAATATTCTGTTCTTGTATTGAATTTCTGGAATTTTTATTATTATATGCCTGGGTGTTGCTCTGTTTGGGTTGTAGGTAGCTGGGGTCCTGTATGCCTCATACATCCGAGTATCTTTACCTTTTGCTAAATTAGGAAAATTCTCCTGGATTATTTCTGTGAGTAGCTTTTGTAGTTCACTTGTTTGTGTCCCTACTTCTTCTTTTATGTTCTTAATCCTTAAGTTATGGATCCTCTTATCATCTTCTTGTCTTTGTATTATTGCTGTTTGTTTCTTTGTTATTTTTAAGAAGTTTTTCATTTCATTCTCCCATATTACAAGTCTGCCCTCCAGTTCAGATAGTCTGTCCTTAGTTTCTTTCAAGCTGTTATGCCAGTCTTCTATAGACTTCTTAGTATCTTGGTAGTCCCTTTGAACCTGCTTCACGTATTCTATGCTTTCTCTGTTTTCTCCATCAAACAATTCTCCCCTTTTTTTCTGTTCTTCCACTCCACCACCTGTTTTTTCTTGGGTGGTACTTAGCATTTCTCTAACTATTCTGCATACTTCTAGCTTCAGGTCATTGATAACTTCATTCCTGAATTGGTCTATGAGGCTCTCTATATGGTGCCTTATGTGTATTGGTGTGGTGTCTGCTATTGCCTGTTTCTCAGAATTGGGGGCCGAGGAGCCTTTCTTGTTGCTGCCTCTTCCCATGCTGCCTCTTCTTCTCTGTTCCTTATATATGCAAGCTTATATAAGAGGCCCAGCTTCTCTCCCAGTCAGCCACAGCCTGATCGAATTGCGCCAGTTAGTTGTTCCCACTCACCGCTGTGCACCAGGGAGTTACGGACCAGGCAGCCTACGCATCTCCCCTCCCGGCCACCGTCAGGCTCTGGGATCTGGGTTGGGACAGTCTAC